TATTCAAGTCTGAAGCCCAAGAAGGCCTCCACAATTAAAACTACCCATATTTTGCCATGTGTAATACACACTTCTTGCCCAATTTTTTTAGGGAAAATAAGGATGTGCATTATACATGGGTAGTAGCTGAAATACCTTGTATCTGTTCTTATGTTTTGTAATTATTTATTATATAAAATGTCTTATACCATTATATGTTCAGAAATAAATGCTAAAATTCCTTTATAATACAAAAAACACAAGTATCTACATATAAATAAATAAATAATTGAATAAAAAATTAAAGTGATTTTTTTTCCTGAAAGTTCAGGCCAAAAATGTGGGTGCACATTATACACAGCAAAATACAGTATTATGGCTACAGTTCAATACAAAAAAAGTTTTGTATGGACTAACTAGAAACCTAACTACCATACTGTACTACTTGCAAAGAGATTTAGAACATAGCCCACTTATAAATAGGAGACTACCTATAATCACTAATACTTTCTATAATAAGCTACCCTTTTGCAACTCTATAAAATAAAAAGCCTAGTTTTTATGGAATAGCAGGAAGTGAAGAAGCTATGACTCCCTTTACTGCATATGCACAAAAACAGCTTTGTATATGAAGTAGCCAAATCAATGGTTATACATTAGATGCTTTAGGATGATAATACCAAAGTCTGCATCCAAGATACTGTAGTATTCCTTTTTAGTAAGGAGTTCTAGAACATGTTCAGATCTTTGGAAATGTGGGATTCATTTTCTCCTTTTTATTATTAGATCCTATTGACTGAATGTTTATGTCCTTCCCAAATTCATATGCTAAATCCTAGTGCCCAACATGAGGGTACTAGAAGATGGGGCCTTTAAATTATTAGGTCATAAAGGCAGAATCCGCATGAATGGGATAAGTGCTTGTATAAATGAGACTAAAGAAAGCTCCCACTCTTTCTGATATGTGAAGCCAGTGACAGCACTATAAGTCAGAAAGTAGGCCCTCACCAAACACAGAATCTGCCAGCACCATGAACTGTGAGAAATAAATTTTTGTTGTTAATGGTATTTTGTTATAGTAGCCAGAATAGACTAAGATACCAGAGATTTTTTTTAATGGTTTTAAATAATTATTTGGGGGGGATGTATATAGTGTGCTGTGTTGATTTAACCAGTAAAGAGAGACAGGTATAGCCCTGACTGGTGTGGCTCACTGGGTTGGATGTCATGTGCAAAGAAAAAGCTCACTGGTTCAATTCCCTGCACCAGCCCCCAACAATGTGCCTTGGCTGCAGGCCAGGTCCCAGGTTGGGGGCCTCTGAGAGACAAACCATTGATGTTTCTCTCACATATTTATGCTTCTCTCCCTCTCTTTATCCCTCCCTTCCCCTCTCTCTAAAAATAAATAAATAAAAGTTGTTTTTTTAAAAAACACACAGATGTACTCTAATACAATGCTGATGACAAATTAAATTCATTAAAAGTGACTGTCTGGAGAGCAATTTAGCAATAATTACCAAAAGTTTTATAAATGTTCCTCTTTTTGATTCGGTAATTCAACCTGTAAATATCTCCTCTTAATAATCAGAGAGGCATTAATTATTTATATAACAAATTATCAAGGACTTAGTTGGTGCCAGGCATTATTCTTATGAATGAGGAAGGACATTTACCTCATTCTTTTATAGAAAAAAAAAGCTGGGGAAAAGTGTCTAACAATAATTTTAAAAATTAAAAGGCATCTAACAAATAAAATATTATACTAGCACTGGAAACTATATTATCAAATATTTTAAAAATTTAATAAGAAAATCCTCATGATATGTTAAGAAAAAAATATTTAAATCAACACACAAAAGTACATATAACTATATATATAAACCTGTATGTATGACCCCAAATCTATGTTTTAGATCTTACTAGCCAGAGACCTTGGTCAAGTTACTTAGCCTCACTCTACTTCAGTGTCTTCATCTGTAAAATAAAGATTTTATATTTCACATCCCAATGGACTTGGTAAATGAGTAATTTGCAAAGTGCTTACAATATTTCCCCAGTACATAGTAATTATTTTCCCCAGTACACTAGTAATTATTTGCAAGTGTTATTATTATTACAAATACACATGTGCAAAGAAAAACTGGAAGAACATCAACATATTATTAAAAGTCCTGAATTCTAACAAAACTAACTCTAAAACCTACAGGAAATTTGAACACTCACTGCATATTATGATATAAAATTTATTTTATGAAGTTTGACTTTGTTTTTCTTAAAGTATATCATAGCAAAGTGTTTATAAATAAAATATATCTAATGTTGTCATTACAATTCTTTGGAGGGTGCTTATGTGGTGATTTTTTTAATGTTATCAGAGGTAAATTACCTCTGAGGATAGAATTATTACTAGCTTTTCTTCTCTTCCTATTTTTCTATTTTCCAAATCTCCTACAGTGATAACAAAAATTATTTTCATCCTTTTTTGAATGTGTACTTATTTTATTGATTATGCTATTACGGTTGTCCCAATTTTTCCCCCTTTGCATCCCTCTACCCAGCACTCCCCACTCCCTCAGGCAATACCCTCACTTAGTTTATGTCCATGCGTCATGCGTGTAAGTTCTTCAGCTATTCCATTTTCCTATACTGTACTTTACATCCCCATGGCTACTCCTTAATCCCCTTACCTCTTCATCCATTGCCCCATATTCCCAACCCATCTGGCAACCACAGATGCCCTCCATAACCATGATTGTCTCTGTTCTTCTTGTTTCCTTAGTTTGTTTTTTAGATGCAATTCTTGATAGACACATATTTATTGCCATTTTATTGCTCATAGTTTTGACCCTCTTCTTTTTCTTAAAAAAGTCCCTTTAACATTACATATAATAATGGCTTGGTGATGAAGAACTCCTTTACTCTTTTCTTGTCTATGAAGCTCTTTATCTGCCATTCAATTCTAAATGATAGCATTACTGGGTAGAGCAATCTTAACTGTAGGTCCCTGCTTTTCATGACTTTGACTATTTCTTGCCAATCCCTTCTAACAAAGTTTATTTTGAGAAATCAGCAGCCACTTTTATGAGAACTCCCCTGTAGGTAACTGTTTTCTATTGATGGTTTTAAGATTCTCTCTTTATCTTTAATCCTTGGCATTATAACTATGATATATCTTGGAGTGGGCCTTTGTGCACCCAACTTGTTTGGGACTCCCTGTGCTTTCTGGACTTGTGTGTCTATTACCTTCATCAAATTAGGAAAGTTTCCTTTATTTTTTCAAATACATTTCCAATTTCTTGCTCTTTCTCTATGATGTGAATGTTGGAATGCTTGAAGTTGTCCCAAGATCACTTACACTAGCCTCATTTTTTTAAAAATACTTTTTTCTTCTTGTTGTTCTGATTGGTTGTCTTTTGCTTCCTTATGTTCCAAGTCATTGACTTGATTCTTGGCTTCATCCACTTACTGTTGTTTCCCTGTAAATTTATTTATTTCAATTAGTGTAACCTTCATTTCTGACTAGATTATTTTTGTGCTGTTGAGACCTAATTAAGTTCCTTAAGCCTTCTTATAACCAGTTTTGAACTCTGCAACTGATATAGTAGTTATCTCCATTTTTGTTTAGTTCCTTTTCTGGAGTTTTGATTTGTTCTTTCATTTGGGCCATGTTTTTTGTCTCCTCATCTTGGTAGCCTTCCTATGTTTGTTTCTATGTATTTTCTATGATTATATAGAGCTGCTATGACTCCCTGTCTTGGTAGTGTGGCCTGATGTAGTAGGTGTCCTGTAAGGCCCAGTGGCACAGCCTCCCTTATCAGCCACGCTGCCTACTTGAAGTTTGCCCTTCGTGTGGGATGAATATACCCTCCTCTTGTAGTTGAGCCTTGTTTGCTGTTAGCAGGCTAATGGGAGGGATTTACCCAGGCCAACCAACCAGAGGTGTGACCACAGACCACCAACCTCTGCCTTCTGTAGAGGATCAACTGAGTGGGGGCAGGGTAGTGATACTCTGATATGGTCTGTAACTGTCCACTGGGTATGCAGGCTGTAGGTTTTCCCAGGTGGTGCAGGCCAAGCTCAGCCCACACCAGTATTATGCCAGGGCCATGCTGCATAAGTAATAAAGCAAACTGAGATGACTGCTACTTCTGCTGGGTTTGGAAATTCCTGGGAGAAGCCAAACTGTGTTTCGAGGCTGGGTGTTGCTAGTGACAGGTCTGGGGCCACATAGCAAGAGGTACAGGAGTTGGGGGCTACTGAGGCTGGCTATTGCTTATTTGAAAGGACTTAGGAAGTTGTAAAGCATGAGCCAACCATCATAATATGGAAAAAGAGCTTGGGTGAGCCTATAAGTTCGGTGGAGCAGAGTCTCTGGGGATCTCTAAGATGGGTCAGTGTTAGCCAGGTGATATAGCCTCAAATATGGCACAATCTTGCGGGCTCTGCAGTGGGAAGACTCAGAAAAGAGACAATGGCTCTGCTAGCCCAGGTGCCAGACACTCCAGCCTCTCCCAGTGTGCCACTGGTGCCTTTGAAGCTGCCATCCGATGCTGGATCTCAGAGGGAGTGATCTGAGTAAGTCTATGTGAGGGTTTTTTAAGGGGAACTGTTTGGGAATCTAGAAGTTTCTTCAACCAACTCAATTCCCACTGGTTTTTGCAGCCAGAAGTTATGGGACTTATCCTGAAACTTTGGGATGGGGTGCCTGGTATGGGGCTGGTACTCCTCACTCCTGAGATATCCCTCCTGAATTTTTATTCACTACACATAGATGTGGGACCAGCTTGTTCCCTGTCTCGATGGATCGATGTGGTTTCTTTAATTCTGTAGTTGTCAGCCTTCTATTCAACTTGATTTCTGATGGTTATGAGTGATTGCTGTTCTATATTTTAGTTATAATTTATGACATGGTTGTACAAGGAGGTGAGCCATGTGTATTTATGCCACCATCTTGACTAGAAGTCAAAGAAATTATTTTTAAAGTAAAAAACTATATTCAAAAATTTTAGGAAAATCCTTACCAATACTCCATCTGCAGACAAAACTTTCTCCCAAGTTAACCAAGCTCTTTCTCTGACATGATCTGATATCTTTAATTTCTGACATAATGCAGTAAAATCCGGTTCTTCAGTTTCTTCAAACTCAAGCCTATTAAATAAAAATATACATTTAATAGGTACAAAATTACAAATCAAACTAATCAAGCAAGCATTTGTTTCAATGGTTTGCAAATAATGGTAGTATTCTGAAAAACAACATAACTAAATACTTTAGGATCTCATTTACTGTTGAAAAATTACCTTTTAAGCTATCTTTTTCATAGACTTTCCAAAATAAGGATACCACACAATGAAAAATGTTTATTGGCTTGGTGCATCACATACACTTCAGAGTAGCAAAATAGCTTTGTGAGGAAAGTCAGTAAAATAGCTAAAGCTGTTTGGGAAAAGTAGGATAAAATAACAGCAAGAAGAGGAAATCCATCATTACAGAATCAATTCATTGTCAGTGACTTATTTAAAATAGAGTCTACACTTAACAATGTTTCATATATATAATCTACCTACTACCACTTCTTACATGATGATTAAATTGACATAAATTATTATTTTTGGCTAATTCCTTTTCATTCATTTAATGTCTATTTGACATATAATATTATTATGAGGAATACCTAATAATTTTTTAATATTAGCAGTATGTATAGTACTGTCAAAACAATATACGCACATGAGAAATAGCAAATAATTTCTGATGTATTTATTATGACCCCATTTAAAGTAGCTGAGATGCATATGGGGTTTCACTGAATCCCCATATTGGTCCTATCAGGTAAGTACTCTCATTATCCCTGTTTTACAGACAAGTACCAAATCAGAGAAGTTAAAGTACTCATGTGGGATGACAGCTACTAAGTGAGAACTTAGATAAAAATCGAAAGGTCTAACTTCATAATTCATGACCTTGCCCACTACTCCAGACTGCCAACCCTCTTTCAAAACATAATTAACTTTTGGTTTTCTCAACAATGAAGGTAGCATACTATTATTAGTGAGGATTTTCTTTTGATTACATCATTTAGGCCAGATATAATGCAACAGAAATAAGATCTCAACTCTCAGAGTAGAAATGAAGTCTGTGACTGGAAGTTCAGTTGGAATGGGACCTGAATCCATCCCTAAGAAAGTTTCTTGGCCTCAGACTGCCAGTCAGTGGTTCTATTCTTGCTAAGTAGTTAAGCTAGAGAGTTTGATTGCCCATATTAAAGAACCCTTTTGTGGATATAAATAACCAAGAGCAATCTGTATCTTCCATGGTTTGGCCTTATAAAAGAATTTAATAATTCCATCATTTAAGGTATATTTGAAAAAGTATTGGAAATAATTAAAGAAACAAAGCACCAGGTGATGGCCAGAACTTCATTATTTCTGCTTAGCATGCAATAATCAAGAGTGCTTCCGAAGCTCTGTGAATAACATGGAACACTTCACAAAAAAGACTTTACTGTTCTTGCCTAAGGGAAACTTTCAAGTATTGGATGCTTCTGAGTTTAATCAGAAATAAAGTATTGTCACCCTGACCAGTGTGACTAAGCTGGTTGGGCATTGCTCTGCAAAGCAAAAGGTCATGGTTCCCCATCACGGCACATGCCTAGGTTGCAAGTTCAGTCCCAGTGCAAGAGGCAACCAATCGATGTTTCTCTCCCTCTCTTTCTCCTTCCCTTACCCTCTCTTTGAAAATAAATACAATCTTTTAAAAAAAAAGAAATTAATCTCTTCTCCAAGAACATCCCCAGACTTTTTTTAACTGGTGAGTATGACTTTTAATTGACGCATAAGACAGTCTATTTAAACATATTGTATAGTCTTTCAGAAGCCATTTCCAACAGCCCATTCCAGTCTTTAACAAGTTTGGCCTGAATTCTGTTAATGTCTTCGCAGGTGAAAGAAACAGATTTTGGCAATGGACTAGAAAGAGGGACAGAGTGGTGAGGAAGTCTCATTCCCCTTAAATGGATATGTAGTCTCTCAGTAGGAGCAGTGCTGACAAGAATAATGACAATTATACTCCTTCAATCTTAGCTTCTTAAGATTGAAGCTAAGGATCTTCTTAATATCACAATCAAGAAAAACAAGATGTTGAAATATAAATATCTTCCTCCCATGTTCTAATGCATTATCATATTTATGATGGCATGACTTTCTTAAATTTAAATTCCATTTAGGCAAAAAAAATATTGATGGGAGCACAAGAACACCACTAATTTTGTACTCAAGAAAAATGTGGGGGGAACACCAGGACCCTTGCTGGCTCCAAGCTAAAAGGCAAAATGTAAGAAATAAGACATTGCTGAAGCAAACCAACATGAAGAAGTTTTATACTATAAGAAAGAAAAAGTTTAGAAACTTTTAAGCACTTGGGCTAAACTTTTGCCCATAGTCCAGTTCCTCTGAAGAGTTATATTCCACTAGTCACTACGAGGGCTCCGAATCCCCAAGAACTCAAAGCACTGCTGTAAAAGAACCCTACAAAGCACCTCAGTCAAGTACCCTGAGGAAAACTGACACCAAGGACCCTGAATATACGTCCAATGGCGTCTCTGCGGCAGCTTCCAAGGCTTTTCTGGTTGGCCTCTCCCAAAACAAGGATTTAGATGCAGTTGCTTGCCCAGAGAAAAACATTTCTAACTGTTGCAACCCAGGAGACCAAAACGGAAAGCCACGCGACCTACCAGGGTACCACAAATCTCGACAGGAGAAAACTCTCCACTACACACTAGTCTTTTGGGGGGTTGGGGTGGGGGGTGTTTTGTTTCATTTGATGGGCCTTGAAATTACCCGCCGCCTGCGAGCCTCTAGGAAGGCGGAGGAAAGGCACCTGTCACATCGCTCAGGGATCCGAGCCCCACCCGCTGGACACCTGTCAAGCTGGAGCCAGAGTCCTGCCGGCCACCCTCTCGTCGCTCACGAAATCAGACTCCTGTCACCGTCCTTCGGGCGATCTGCAGCGGTGGAAGATAGGGACACTCCTCCCGCCCAGACCTGCACCCCAGCAAAGACGCGCCCCCGCCAGACGCCACGGCGCCCGGCCGGACGCACCCTCCCGGCCGCCGCAGCGGCTTTGCACGCTCACCTAGCCAGAGGCAAGTCCTCAGAGCCACTGTCTTGTTCGGGGTCATCCTCCGGAGGGGGCGGTGGAGGCGGCGGCGGCGGCGCCGCCTGGGATGCGGCAGCATTGGCGGTGGCTGCTCTCCGGAGGATTTTGGGCGGCATGACGCCCTGCCAGAGCTGGAGCTGTGGAGCAGTGAGGAAAGCCGAGGCGGGAGGACGCGCGCACGTCGGGGCACGCCCCGTCCTCTCCCGACTCCCGTTACAAAAATAATATGAATGTCCCCTGAGAAAAACCGACAAGCCTCCCGCCCGGCAACTAGCGCCACCGTCCAACCGCGGGAAAACGTCACTTCCGCCCGCGGCGTCACGTCCGCGAGGTGGGAAACCGCCGCTGACGGAAGGGAACCGGTGCGCCTGGCGGTGTGCAGGCCAGAGGTGCAAGGTCGGGCGGGCTGGGCAAGGATCCCACGCCTACGCTCGGCGCTGTCCCTGAGGCCCCGCAGCCTTCCCTGAGGCCCTGCCGCCATCGGAACCTGTCACTACCCGAAACCCCCCCTTGCAGGCATGGGTGCCGGTAACAGGGCATTGCAGAGTCTGGTGGGTGAGATTGGGCCCATCTTCATCTGTGGGTGGATCAGGGGGTGCGGCTCAGGCACCGCCAGGAATATCAGGCGAGTGCACCCTCAGCGGGCACGCCCCTGTCCTCCTTGGATAGCGCCCTCGGTCTCCACCGCGCTCCTGCGGCCCAATCCATTAAGTAAAGTGGGCCAAAACCAAAACAAACATTGGTGGAACATGTATTAATTAGTAGCTGAACTCTGCCAATCATTATGAGATACAAACTGTAGGACAATTATTGGCCTTTTAGGAATCACTAGTTAGGGTGGAGGCCTGTGGGTAAAGAACAGATTATAGTGTGATAAATGTTTTAATAGTGGCGTAAAAAAAACAGGAGACACCTAGAAATGTCTAAGGGACATCTTTAGAGGAGTAGTGGCAGTTGAAAAGACTTTTATCAAGGAGATGTAAAAAGTTAAATGGAATAAGCATTGCTAAGAGAGTCACTTAAAAGAGTCTATTAGGGAAGTGGGACACTCATCTTGTGCTTCAGTTCTCAGTTTAGCTGTTAAGTTGCTAAATCTGTTGCTAAACTCAGCTCAAGGCCCAGCCATAAACACTTGAAATAGTAACTGCTCCATGGATTTATATGTATGGACTTTAACTTCCTCTATTGTAGGAAGTTCTTTTTTCTTTCATCTCTTGTTTGCATATTGGAACTAACCACTCCCTGTAACCTACCCAGCAGTCCTCCATTTGCATGAAAAAAATTACACTTTGATTTTTGCCATTATAAACCCTGCCTTTGTTCTCCCCAGAACAAGTTTGAAGTGCTGCCTGAATCTGGGTCTCTCAGATTCTAAGTCTTTTTTTTAAGACCCCCAAATAAACTTTTAATTTCACAGCTTCACATCTTTATTAGTTAACATTACATATGGTGAGTTGTGCTGTCCATTTTACATGATTATCTTAATCCTCAAAAATGATTATTTCAAATAACTAGTGATACCATTATTCCACTTTCCATAAAAGGAAACAGGCTGAGAAAAGTTCATTAATTGGCCCAATATTCTAGAGCTGATGGATGGTAGAAGATTTGAACGAGGTATGTTTGACTCTACTTACCTGTTACATTGTGTTGGTAAAGAAAACACTGAGAAGAGAGAAGCAGCATGTACAAAGGAACAAACATCACATAAGAGCTTTCTGGAACCACTTCCATCAAAGAAACCGCAGCTCTTCCATCTCTTAATGTTTACTTATAATAATAGATTGTCTAGTTTGAGTGCACATTTTTTCTCTCTTTGACAGGTGCTGTGGATTGCCAAGTCAGAACTTCCCAACTGAGGTGCTGTGAACAAAATAAGTTGTTCTTGGATTTGAATTTACTTATTTTTGAAAAAGCTGAGCAGGGCTGAGACAGTAGGAGCCTTCAGGAAAGCCATGGCTGCAAGCCTCTTGAGGTTATCCGAGTGAATGGTGTGATGAATTACCATTTTCTATGTATACCAGATATCATCATCAAAGTGGTAATCCTATTCACTTTCCCCAGGATTAGTATAGGCAGGGGCTCAGGGTGCAATTTTAGTCTTTGCTAGATCAAAGTAGTCCACTGGGAGCCTGCTGAAATGAGATACAAAGATGAGAGTTCTTCTCCTTAACTATTATGAGGATGTAACCCTCACAATTGCTGCAGCCATTGTAACTTAAAACAAGCTGACCTAAAGATAAAGCAGAAATGTTTAGGATGACACAGTAGGAATATATAAAAAAAATATGGGTCTTCAGTGACACAACTGAACCTCTGATTTAACCAGAAAGCATCATAGCTTATAATATTTCTCTAATGAGTTCCTACAGGATAGAGACCAAATTATCTTGGTAGTCTTAGTACCTAGTGATACAGGGTGCAGCCAGGGGGCCCCCCCAAAAAAACAGATTTGGAATGGTGTCCAGAATTCAAAGTGTATAGGAATATTGGAGAGACATATTAAGATGTCCTCACCGCCCCCCCCCAGGGGGAAGGGATGAATGGCCAGGCCATTGAGAGCTGTTTTGCATAGCAACAGTTTTGGAGCTAACCTCTGGAATGGTTATTTAACATATGTATAACTTTTAACTGGTTTCATAGATATGTTAAATAGGAGTGGCCAAGTTTGGGGCCGAGGAAGAGGGGAGAAGGTAGTAGCTGGGACTCAAGATGGGATCTCTGAGCTGTTCTCCTGAGTGAGGAGGGCTTGGACTCAACATGGCAACTAGGAGCTGCACTCCTGAAGGAGAAGGTAGTGGATGGGGACTCAAGATGGAACTAGCAGGGACTGAGGATGGAACTAGGAGGACTCAAGATGGGAACTAGGGGCTGCTCTTCGGAGTGAGAAAGACTGGGACTCAGGAGGATGTAACTAGGGGCTGCGTTCCTGAGTGAGAAGGCCTGTGTGAGAGCTTGAAAAAGACTGGCTCCAGGACATGAAGGGTCCCCGCTCTGCCAGATGAGAGAGAGCCACGCGGTTTCAGCAGAGTGAGGACCCCCTCTTGGTGAGGTGAAAGAGGGAGCCACGTGGTTTTGGCAGGGTGCGGACCCCCTCTTTTCCAGGTGAAAGGGAAAAACCACGCAGCTTTGCCAAAATGGACATCCCTGCAGCCAGGTGAAGAAGAAAGCCACATGCTTTTGGTGGAGTGCGGACTCCTGCAGCTTTGGTAGAAGAGGCCCACGCGGCTTTGGGGTGCCCCCTTTGGCCGCGTGGCCTGAAAAAGCAAGAGAGACTTTGACTGGAACTGGGTACAAAGGACTCTTGCCAGTGGACCATGAGAGGGTACCACAGTACTTTGGATTAACTCGAGATCCTGCACAGTGACCCAGTTGACGGTGCCAGCAGCCTGCAATACAGACGTGTGCTCTTCTCCTGATTTACGGTACCCGGAGTTGGGACAGTGGGAGAAGGGAGCGCTGTGTGGGTGTAGGTGTATACCCTAAAGGACTTTGATATTTTAGTGGTGGCATTAGGCCTGAATAGCATTAAATAAACATTTTGTTTCCTTTTCACAAATCTCTGGCATTAAGAGATGTCTTTCCAATTGGCGGCGGACAGAAGGGCCCAGTAGATTTTAGTATTCTGTCCATGGGAGGGGCCCCTGTTGTATAGCAGTTTTGGGCATCCCTGGGTGGGCCAAATATTGTATTGCCCCTCCCTCGGACCACCTCTTGTTGTTCGGTAACACTAGCACAATGGTACTTGGTAGTCTTAGTACCTAGCACATGTACTGTTTAGCAAAGAGTAGATGCTTCTTTGCTAAAAGTGGGGAGGGCAGGAGAGCTCAGAAAAGTTCTGGAAACTGAAGTAAACTATATGTAGGTATGACTTGCTTTATTAAACCAGTTTGTCAACATCTGGATTTACCACAATTATGACAGAGATTTCTTAATTTACAAAAGGATGTATATGTTTACCACGGATTAATTTAACTGTTCCCTACATTTAAAATCCTTTTACACAACCCAGGAGCAATTAAGTCCCTCAAAATCCTTGCTTTCTGTTGCACTACCAAAGAATTAGAAATTGTGCAGATTCTTAAAAGAAGCTTCCCCCAATCTTCCCACACTTCTATAGTAGTTTTAAGATTGCCATTAAAACCAAATAAAGAGCTTTCTTAGATTTTCTATCTAGAGATAGGACTTTTTCAGCTTGAGGCCCCTTTAGTGATACCACAATATTTTTTTGAGTCTCCTCCAGTCTAAAAAGTCTCCCGTCGACCTTTGCCCTCATAAACTACTACACTGTTTCCATTTCTTTACAATCTTAAATTCTTTTTTTTTAATTTATTTTTTAAAATTGATTATGCTGTTACAGTTGTTCTATTCCCCCTTTCATTCCCCTCCACCCTGCCCCCCATCCCCACCATTACCCCCCTTTAGTTTATGTCCATGTGTCCCAAGACCTTTAGGTTCTATATTTCCCATGCTATTCTTGCCCCCCCCCCCCCCATCTATTTTCTATCTACTGTCTATGCTACTTATTTTCTGTACCTCCTCCCCCCATCTCCTCCTCCCACCCCCCCTGTTGCTAACCCTCCTTGAGATCTTCATTTCTATGTTTCCACTCCTGATCTAGCTGTTCTTTTAGTTTGCTTTCGTTTTAGGTGTGGTTGTTAATAACTGTGAGCTTGTTGTTCTTTCACTGTTCATGTTTCTTTAACTTCTTTTTCTTAGATAAGTCCCTTTAACATTTCATATAATAAGGGCTTGGTGATGATGAACTCCTTGAATTTGATCTTATCTGAGAAGCACCTTATCTGTCCTTCCATTCTAAATGAAAGTTTTGCTGGATAGAGCAATCTTGGTTGTAGGTCTTTAGATTTCATGACTTGGAATATTTCTTTCCAGCCCCTTCTTGCCTGTAAGGTCTCTTTTGAGAAATCTGCTGACAGTCTGATGGGGACTCCTTTGTAGGTGATTGTCCCCTTAGCTCTTGCTGCTTCTAGGATTCTCTCCTTCATTTGAATCTTGGCTAATGTAATTATGATATGCCTTGGTGTGTTTCTTCTTGAGTCCAACTTTTTTGGTACTCTCTGAGCTTCTTGGATTTCTTGGAAGTCTATTTCCTTTGCCAGCTTGGGGAAATTTTCTTTTATTATTTGTTCAAATAATTTTTCGACTGGTGGTTGTGTCTTTCCCCCTTCTGGTACCCCTATAATTCGGATATTGGAGCATTTAAAGATGTCCTGGAGGTTCCTAAGACTCTCCTCATTTCTTTGAATTCTTGCTCCTTGACTCTTTTCTGTTTGGCCATTATTTGCTTT